AGGTGGCTCACTCACACTGCTGCACGTTCTAGAACGTGTGTCCGTCCTGATAAAAGCAAGGACACAGAAGGGGTCACAGCCTGGGTTCTCCCGTGTTCTTTCTGACCAGTCAGGGCCACCACACCCAGGTAGGACTGTCGGGATGTTTCCATTAACTGAAAACGCTGAGCTGGCTTCCAGACCATTACAGATGCCTGAAGTTTTTGTTTTTTGTCTTTTTTTTTTTTCATGTGAATGACCACAGCCCTGGGTGGAGGTTTAAGTCATATTTCCTCCTGGAGAGTTTAAGGTCTGTAATGCTTGGCTTCTGGGGGGCTGAGGAGAGGGTGGGAGGCGGGGAGGGTGGAATCTAAACAAAAGTTCTTTCAAAACCAAATGTACTTGTCCTTTCTCAGTCAAAAGAATAGAGCGATGGCATATATGCATAACTGAACCACTATGCTGTCCACCAGAAATTAATACGACGTTGTAAATCAACTAGACTTCAATTAAAAAAAAGGTAATGTTTGAACAAGGAAAATGAGTTGGTGTTCTTCAACTCTTTTAAAATTGTCCTCAGTTTTATGAAGTACACCTGTCAGTTTCTTTTAAATAAGGGCAAAATTGCTTAAGAAATCCATACTCCAGATCTCATATTTCCAACGGATACAAGCACTGCAATGACAACCCCTATTATCACACTGTTATTTACTGCGTGTTTATTTCCTACATTAATCTGATCTTAACACGTTATCAGCCGACTCTTGCCTTGCAGGAGGGATGCCGGCTGAGCGAGCCGACACTCGGCAAAGCTGTCTCCCCAGCCCGGACTGTATCTGCGTCGGTTCTGGCCCCAGACTCCCCACTGTGTCCTTAGTGGGCCTCGCAGAGACCCCCAGGGGGCTGGGAGGCTCTGGAAGCTGGCTGTCAAGGCTGCATGAGAGATCACGGACCTAGAACTCAACTTTGGGGTAAAACTTTGAAGGAAGTTCATCAGGGGCTCTTTGTCTCTAATGTGTGGACAGAAAGGGCATTGCCTGGTTTACCGGAGACGCTTGGGCGGTCTCTCAAGGATGCTTCACTGCTGATCATTGGAGAAAAAACAAAACAAAACAAAACACCTCCCGGTTCTGTGATCACACACCCGCCCTGTGAGATAGCAGCTTATTATTTATCACCAGCTGATCAGCCATCGGTGTCGGGACAATCAGACCTTTGCATCCACTGTTTGTTCTTTCAAAGCCCTCTCAGCCATTGCCTCATTTTGCCTGCTCAGCAAGCCCGCAAGGGAAGGCTCTTTCCAGACCAGGGAAGCTCACACAGATTTAGAGGAGGAACAGGAATGGAACCTAGATCTGCCAGTTCATGTGTCCTTTTTTTCAGCCCACATACTCTTCAGGTGGTTCCCGATCCACATTTCCCTCCACCCCAAGCCATGAACATTTATTGAGGAGGGGAAAAAAGTCTTGTTTTCAGAGACTGCTCTGAAAGAAACTTTGTGTCTTCAAAATATTAATTTATTTCCCATCACTGAATTCTCAGGGTCCGTGAATTATTTCTCTACAGGGCACCTATTGCCCTGCTAGGTGTAATGACAGATCAACAAGTAGTAAGGCAACCTCCCTGTTCTCCAGGAGCTTAGGGTGGCAAGCAGATTCTGAGATGACCACCGGGGCCCCTTGTCCTTGTAGCATCTCCTCCCCCTGAGTATAAGCAGAGCCTTAACTGGCTTCTAGCCAATGGAATCCAGCAAAAGTGATAGGATATCATCCCTGTGATTTCATTACATTAGGTGAAAAAGGTGAAGGGATTTTGCAGATGTAATTAAGATCTCTAATCAGTTGCTTGAAGTTAATTGAAAGAAAGATTATCCTGGATGGGTCTGACCTAATCAGATGAGCCCTTTAAAAGAAGGTCTAGAGGTCAGAAACTCAATGCAGCATCTCTCTCTCTCTCTCTCTCTCTCTCTCTCTCTCTGCCTCTCTCTCACTGGCCTTGAAGGGGTAAAATTCCAGGAGATTTACAGCTTCAAAGCAATGAATTCTCCCCTGTGAGCTTGGCAGAGAACCCTGAGCTTAGCTGAGGCCCCAGCTCCAGTTTTGTGAGGCCCTGGGCAGAGGACCCAGCTGACTTGTGGAAGAGATGATAAATGTATGTGCTTTTAAGCTGCTAAATTAGTAGTCATTTGTTACACAGCAATACAAAACAAACACACTTATGATCTAGGGCAGAGCTACGGCTCAGCAGAATTTAGCAAGTGTCTGTAAAATCTAAGATTTGTAAAACAAAATTTTTTTAGTACAGAGGTGATATGCAGCACTAATAATTGTACCACAGTAATAAAACCAGTCTTGTCATTTAGAAACAATAGTGACAACTATATTATCTCCCTCTTTCTCTCCATGTCTCATACACACAGTTGCTCAACCAATTGCTTATAGGAAGGTCCTACTAGGAACATTAGCAATCACACTCAGAAACATCAGGTAACTGTTCCAGGAAGGCATTTGAAATTTCTCTCACAGCCGAACTGTCACCTTGGAGAGGAAGCATTGGATTCTGTGCCAAATCACAGGAAAAGATTTCTCTGCAACACTAGAACTTCAAGAGGTGCCTAAGCACGTAGACTCTTCGAGACAGTGCCTGAAACAGTGCCTGGGTGAGCAGGAACACAGGGGAAAAGCAGCAGGTGCTCAGCAAGTATCAAAGAAAGTGACATCAGCGCTGGGAAAGAACCTTCACCTTCAAGGCGTCAGATGAAACGGTTTGTCCGTTAAACACTTCCCAGTAGATTTGACCTGAAAGGGTTTGTTTTAGTGACAATTTCTAATATCAATTTCATCAGCCAACGTGTGGACTTTTCTCGTGGGTGCGATGACAGCTGGTGAGGAGACTGAGGCGGGAGTGACAGGAGGCCTGGCCAGGTGGAGGGCATCCCAGGCCCACTCTGAGGCGTCACCTCACACCCGGGGAGACAAGGCCAGTGACATCACACAGCACACAGCTGAGCTCACAGGTAGGAGGCACCTAGAACGGGGAGTCCATTTTGACATCAAATGCAAAAGTAATATTAATGAAACAGGACGGGGATGAACAGTGCATACCCTCGGGTGGTGGTCGTGTGGTGACTTTTCAGGATGCCCCCAAACCAGCCCCCCACTTACTGTAGCCAGTGCGCGTGGCCAGGCCACTCACCCACCCAAGCTTTGGTCCCCTCAGTTGGAAAACAGGGATGACTATAGGACCTACCTCCCAGCAAAACCGTGCTAGGACTCAGGGAGAACGCAGTGAGACGGCTCACGCTGACGTGCAGGGAGAGGGAGGCTGCCCCGTAAATATTTATGACTGTGAGTCACAGAGGTGAACCAGAAACGTAAAT